TTTTTCTTTTTTTTTTTAAAACGGGGCCTTATGGTCCCGGCTCCATTCTATTCTCTCCCAACTTCGTTTCTGGTGGTGCTGAAGGAAAAGAAAAGAGGGGCAGTGGGCCCTCTGGCATGTCCGCAAAGGGCCAGTACGCCTTCCTGGTGAATGGCAAGCGCTGTTTTCCAAATTTTGGACAGCGATCTCGGCCGTGCGCTGGCGGATGGCCCAGATCCGCAGCTGGTCAATGACACGTCGAAATCGCATCTGGGCTGTCTGCCGGCGCAAATGGCCCAAAGGCGCAGGCAATCTTTTTTGGTGCTCGGCCATAGATCTGGACTGTGCACCAGCGCACAGCGCAGATCGCAGGGAAATGACACTTGGGATTTCTTTTGTGGTCGGGATAAAACGAACTCAGACAAACAGACAACATCACGTCTGGCCGGAATCTACCCCCGTGCCCCCGAAAGGCGTCCCGGCGCCCTTAAAGCTGATCCCCTAGGCCTCGATCAGGGTCAGGCAGCTGACGGGTTCGCCCAAAAGACTTCAGGCCCTTCCTGGTCCAGTGAGGGAGGTGCCAACTTGCCACAGAGCAAGAGACAGAGACCGTTGTTATGCATACATACAGCGAGCGAGTGTTGTTCGGACAAGCACACGAGCTAGCAGCCGCTGCTTCCTCCCTTGCAAGGACACAGTTGCGTATATTTTCTTCTTCTCTTCAGCCGTGATGACATCATCATAAATCTCCACCAGTTCGTCAAAGCCAGCGTCAACATCTTGGGGAAACACACACCACAGGTCGACCTCCCTGCATGTGACACAGTTGAAACGATAAGTACATAGCAACCACCAATTAGTAATTAGCAACCACTAATTAGTAATTAGCAATCAATAATTAGTAATTAGTAATTAGTGATTAGCAACCACTAATTAGTAATTACACTCACCGATAACAGTGGCGGCTCATGACAGCCAATCTTAAATATTTTCCCCTAAAGGTCATACTCACACTAGGACTTCTCTGGATGTCCACAACCAGAATTACAATCATATTCACTTGAAAGAGTCCTACCTGTTTCCCTCAACATCAGGCCTATGTTTTTTTTTTTTTTTTTGAAGTCCAGATCGTAGTACAGGCTGGATGCTAGGCCTCGAGAGGTGCCTGTCGTTCGTTGTACTATACCAGTGGGGAGATCAGATGGCTTGTGACAGCCCCAAGGACAGTCTCCTCCAGGGGGCATCATTCGTGAACTTTCTTTGTTGTCCTAGTCAGATTGCAAGTTGAGCCCTACAGCAGTGCGACCCAGACCTGTCTGTAGACCTAGACCTACACCAACCCACGCCTTCCGAGGGTCTCAGACGAGCCCCACCCCCGGCGCTACCATAGGGACACCCCGAATTCTCGAGGACGACCTGCACACAGGAGGGCCCACAGATATGTGGTCGTTGCCCACCTGTATCACATCTAGCAGACTCTCAATCTCTATACAAATTCCTACCTAACTAATCTAGACCTAAGACCTCTACCCAACCTAACTCCTCTACCCCACCCATGGTGAGTGCACGAGAGATGACCCAGAGATCACTGGACCCCTTCCCCCCCCCCCCCCCCCCCCCCCCCCCCCCCCC